AAAAAAAAAAAATAAAAAAATAAATTAAAATAATCTACATGGAAGATTCAATTCTTACCTTTTTAGTATTCATTTTGAAGACATAATAGTCTTGAAAACGAAAGAAAACTGTCAAAATTCCAAAGAAGCTCTCCAAATTATCCAAATTGACTGCATTGCTTGTCGTATCGAGTTCTAATCCTCTCTCATAAGGCTTGAAAAAAGCTGAATAATCCTGAAAAATAGAAGAAAAAAAACATTAAAAAGGGTTTAATCTCATGGAAGATTCAATTCTTACCTTTTTAGTATTCATTTTGAAGACATAATAGTCTTGAAAACGGAAAAAAACTTTCAAAATTCCAAGAAAACTCCAAATTATCCAAATTGACTGCATTGCTTGTCGTATCGAGTTCTAATCCTCTCTCATAAGGCTTGAAACAGCTGAATAATCCTGAAAAATAGAAAAAAAACATTAAAAATGGGTTTATTCTTATAGAAAATTCAATTCTTACCTTTTTAGTATTCATTTTGAAGACATAATAGTCTTGAAAACGAAAGAAAACTGTCAAAATTCCAAAGAAGCTTTCCAAATTATCCAAATTATCTGTATTGCTTGTCGTATCGAGTTCTAATCCTCTCTCATAAGGCTTGAAACTGCTGAATAATCCTGAAAAATAGAAAAAAAAAACATTAAAAAGGGTTCAATCTCATAGAAAATTCAATTTTTACCTTTTCAGTATTCATTTTGAAGACATAATAGTCTTGAAAACGAAAGAAAACTGTCAAAATTCCAAAGAAGCTCTCCAAATTATCCAAATTATCTGTATTGCTTGTCGTATCGAGTTCTAATCCTCTCTCATAAGGCTTGAAACTGCTGAATAATCCTGAAAAATAGAAAATAAAAACATTAAAAAGGGTTCAATCTCATAGAAAATTCAATTTTTACCTTTTCAGTATTCATTTTGAAGACATAATAGTCTTGAAAACGAAAGAAAACTGTCAAAATTCCAAAGAAGCTCTCCAAATTATCCAAATTATCTGTATTGCTTGTCGTATCGAGTTCTAATCCTCTCTCATAAGGCTTGAAACTGCTGAATAATCCTGAAAAATAGAAAAAAAAAAACATTAAAAAGGGTTCAATCTCATAGAAAATTCAATTTTTACCTTTTCAGTATTCATTTTGAAGACATAATAGTCTTGAAAACGAAAGAAAACTGTCAAAATTCCAAAGAAGCTCTCCAAATTATCTGTATTGCTTGTCGTATCGAGTTCTAATCCTCTCTCATAAGGCTTGAAACTGCTGAATAATCCTGAAAAATAGAAAAAAAAAAACATTAAAAAGGGTTCAATCTCATAGAAAATTCAATTCTTACCTTTTTAGTATTCATTTTGAAGACATAATAGTCTTGAAAACGAAAGAAAACTGTCAAAATTCCAAAGAAGCTCTCCAAATTATCCAAATTGACTGTATTGCTAGTCATATCGAGTTCTAATCCTCTCTCATAAGGCTTGAAAAAAGCTGAATAATCCTGAAAAATAGAAAAAAAAACATTAAAAATGGGTTTATTCTTATAGAAAATTCAATTCTTACCTTTTTAGTATTCATTTTGAAGACATAATAGTCTTGAAAACGAAAGAAAACTGTCAAAATTCCAAAGAAGCTCTCCAAATTATCCAAATTGACTGTATTGCTAGTCATATCGAGTTCTAATCCTCTCTCATAAGGCTTGAAAAAAGCTGAATAATCCTGAAAAATAGAAAAAAAAACATTAAAAATGGGTTTATTCTTATAGAAAATTCAATTCTTACCTTTTTAGTATTCATTTTGAAGACATAATAGTCTTGAAAACGAAAGAAAACTGTCAAAATTCCAAAGAAGCTCTCCAAATTATCCAAATTGACTGCATTGCTTGTCGTATCGAGTTCTAATCCTCTCTCATAAGGCTTGAAACAGCTGAATAATCCAGAAAAATAGAAAAAAAAAACATTAAAAAGGGTTCAATCTCATAGAAAATTCAATTCTTACCTTTTTAGTATTCATTTTGAAGACATAATAGTCTTGAAAACGAAAGAAAACTGTCAAAATTCCAAAGAAGCTCTCCAAATTATCCAAATTGACTGCATTGCTTGTCGTATCGAGTTCTAATCCTCTCTCATAAGGCTTGAAACAGCTGAATAATCCAGAAAAATAGAAAAAAAAAACATTAAAAAGGGTTCAATCTCATAGAAAATTCAATTCTTACCTTTTTAGTATTCATTTTGAAGACATAATAGTCTTGAAAACGAAAGAAAACTGTCAAAATTCCAAAGAAGCTCTCCAAATTATCCAAATTGACTGCATTGCTAGTCATATCGAGTTCTAATCCTCTCTCATAAGGCTTGAAAAAAGCTGAATAATCCTGAAAAATAGAAAAAAAAACATTAAAAATGGGTTTATTCTTATAGAAAATTCAATTCTTACCTTTTTAGTATTCATTTTGAAGACATAATAGTCTTGAAGTCTTGAAAACGAAAGAAAACTGTCAAAATTCCAAAGAAGCTCTCCAAATTATCCAAATTGACTGCATTGCTTGTCGTATCGAGTTCTAATCCTCTCTCATAAGGCTTGAAACAGCTGAATAATCCTGAAAAATAGAAGAAAAAAAACATTAAAAAGGTTTCAATCTCATAGAAAATTCAATTCTTACCTTTTTAGTATTCATTTTGAAGACATAATAGTCTTGAAAACGAAAGAAAACTGTCAAAATTCCAAAGAAGCTCTCCAAATTATCCAAATTGACTGCATTGCTTGTCGTATCGAGTTCTAATCCTCCTCATAAGGCTTGAAACAGCTGAATAATCCTGAAAAATAGAAAAAAAAACATTAAAAAGGGTTCAATCTCATAGAAAATTCAATTCTTACCTTTTTAGTATTCATTTTGAAGACATAATAGTCTTGAAAACGAAAGAAAACTGTCAAAATTCCAAAGAAGCTCTCCAAATTATCCAAATTGACTGCATTGCTTGTCGTATCGAGTTCTAATCCTCTCTCATAAGGCTTGAAACAGCTGAATAATCCTGAAAAATAGAAAAAAAACATTAAAAATGGGTTTATTCTTATAGAAAATTCAATTCTTACCTTTTTAGTATTCATTTTGAAGACATAATAGTCTTGAAAACGAAAGAAAACTGTCAAAATTCCAAAGAAGCTCTCCAAATTATCCAAATTATCTGCATTGCTTGTCGTATCGAGTTCTAATCCTCTCTCATAAGGCTTGAAACAGCTGAATAATCCTGAAAAATAGAAAAAAAACATTAAAAATGGGTTTATTCTTATAGAAAATTCAATTCTTACCTTTTTAGTATTCATTTTGAAGACATAATAGTCTTGAAAACGAAAGAAAACTGTCAAAATTCCAAAGAAGCTCTCCAAATTATCCAAATTGACTGCATTGCTTGTGGTATCGAGTTCTAATCCTCCCTCATAAGGCTTGAAACAGCTGAATAATCCTGAAAAATAGAAAAAAAAAAACATAAAAAGGGTTCAATCTCATAGAAATTCAATTCTTACCTTTTTAGTATTCATTTTGAAGACATAATAGTCTTGAAAACGAAAGAAAACTGTCAAAATTCCAAAGAAGCTCTCCAAATTATCCAAATTGACTGCATTGCTTGTCGTATCGAGTTCTAATCCTCTCTCATAAGGCTTGAAACAGCTGAATAATCCTGAAAAATAGAAAAAAAACATTAAAAATGGGTTTATTCTTATAGAAAATTCAATTCTTACCTTTTTAGTATTCATTTTGAAGACATAATAGTCTTGAAAACGAAAGAAAACTGTCAAAATTCCAAAGAAGCTCTCCAAATTATCCAAATTGACTGCATTGCTTGTCGTATCGAGTTCTAATCCTCTCTCATAAGGCTTGAAACAGCTGAATAATCCTGAAAAATAGAAAAAAAAAACATTAAAAAGGGTTCAATCTCATAGAAAATTCAATTCTTACCTTTTTAGTATTCATTTTGAAGACATAATAGTCTTGAAAACGAATGAAAACTGTCAAAATTCCAAAGAAGCTCTCCAAATTATCCAAATTGACTGCATTGCTTGTCGTATCGAGTTCTAATCCTCTCTCATAAGGCTTTGAAACAGCTGAATAATCCTGAAAAAATAGAAAAAAAACATTAAAAATGGGTTTATTCTTATAGAAAATTCAATTCTTACCTTTTTAGTATTCATTTTGAAGACATAATAGTCTTGAAAACGAAAGAAAACTGTCAAAATTCCAAAGAAGCTCTCCAAATTATCCAAATTGACTGCATTGCTTGTCGTATCGAGTTCTAATCCTCTCTCATAAGGCTTGAAACAGCTGAATAATCCTGAAAAATAGAAAAAAAAAACATTAAAAAGGGTTCAATCTCATAGAAAATTCAATTCTTACCTTTTTAGTATTCATTTTGAAGACATAATAGTCTTGAAAACGAAAGAAAACTGTCAAAATTCCAAAGAAGCTCTCCAAATTATCCAAATTATCTGCATTGCTTGTCGTATCGAGTTCTAATCCTCTCTCATAAGGCTTGAAACAGCTGAATAATCCTGAAAAATAGAAAAAAAAAAACATTAAAAAGGGTTCAATCTCATAGAAAATTCAATTCTTACCTTTTTAGTATTCATTTTGAAGACATAATAGTCTTGAAAACGAAAGAAAACTGTCAAAATTCCAAAGAAGCTCTCCAAATTATCCAAATTGACTGCATTGCTTGTTGTATCGAGTTCTAATCCTCTCTCATAAGGCTTGAAACAGCTGAATAATCCTGAAAAATAGAAAAAAAACATTAAAAATGGGTTTATTCTCATAGAAAATTCAATTCTTACCTTTTTAGTATTCATTTTGAAGACATAATAGTCTTGAAAACGAAAGAAAACTGTCAAAATTCCAAAGAAGCTCTCCAAATTATCCAAATTATCTGCATTGCTTGTCGTATCGAGTTCTAATCCTCTCTCATAAGGCTTGAAACAGCTGAATAATCCTGAAAAATAGAAAAAAAACATTAAAAAGGGTTCAATCTCATAGAAAATTCAATTCTTACCTTTTCAGTATTCATTTTGAAGACATAATAGTCTTGAAAACGAAAGAAAACTGTCAAAATTCCAAAGAAGCTCTCCAAATTATCCAAATTGACTGCATTGCTTGTCGTATCGAGTTCTAATCCTCTCTCATAAGGCTTGAAACAGCTGAATAATCCTGAAAAATAGAAAAAAAAAACATTAAAAAGGGTTCAATCTCATAGAAAATTCAATTCTTACCTTTTTAGTATTCATTTTGAAGACATAATAGTCTTGAAAACGAAAGAAAACTGTCAAAATTTCCAAAGAAGCTCTCCAAATTATCCAAATTATCTGCATTGCTTGTCGTATCGAGTTCTAATCCTCTCTCATAAGGCTTGAAACAGCTGAATAATCCTGAAAAATAGAAAAAAAAAAACATTAAAAAGGGTTCAATCTCATAGAAAATTCAATTCTTACCTTTTTAGTATTCATTTTGAAGACATAATAGTCTTGAAAACGAAAGAAAACTGTCAAAATTCCAAAGAAGCTCTCCAAATTATCCAAATTGACTGCATTGCTTGTTGTATCGAGTTCTAATCCTCTCTCATAAGGCTTGAAACAGCTGAATAATCCTGAAAAATAGAAAAAAAACATTAAAAATGGGTTTATTCTCATAGAAAATTCAATTCTTACCTTTTTAGTATTCATTTTGAAGACATAATAGTCTTGAAAACGAAAGAAAACTGTCAAAATTCCAAAGAAGCTCTCCAAATTATCCAAATTATCTGCATTGCTTGTCGTATCGAGTTCTAATCCTCTCTCATAAGGCTTGAAACAGCTGAATAATCCTGAAAAATAGAAAAAAAACATTAAAAGGGTTCAATCTCATAGAAAATTCAATTTTTACCTTTTCAGTATTCATTTTGAAGACATAATAGTCTTGAAAACGAAAGAAAACTGTCAAAATTCCAAGGAAACTCTCCAAATTATCCAAATTGACTGTATTTCTAGTCATATCGAGTTCTAATCCTCTCTCATAAGGCTTGAAACAGCTGAATAATCCCGAAAAATAGAAAAAAAAAACATTAAAAAGGGTTCAATCTCATAGAAAATTCAATTCTTACCTTTTTAGTATTCATTTTGAAGACATAATAGTCTTGAAAACGAAAGAAAACTGTCAAAATTCCAAAGAAGCTCTCCAAATTATCCAAATTATCTGCATTGCTTGTCGTATCGAGTTCTAATCCTCTCTCATAAGGCTTGAAACAGCTGAATAATCCTGACAAATAGAAAAAAAACATTAAAAATGGGTTTATTCTTATAGAAAATTCAATTCTTACCTTTTTAGTATTCATTTTGAAGACATAATAGTCTTGAAAACGAAAGAAAACTGTCAAAATTCCAAAGAAGCTCTCCAAATTATCCAAATTGACTGCATTGCTTGTCGTATCGAGTTCTAATCCTCTCTCATAAGGCTTGAAACAGCTGAATAATCCTGAAAAATAGAAAAAAAACATTAAAAATGGGTTTATTCTTATAGAAAATTCAATTCTTACCTTTTTAGTATTCATTTTGAAGACATAATAGTCTTGAAAACGAAAGAAAACTGTCAAAATTCCAAAGAAGCTCTCCAAATTATCCAAATTGACTGCATTGCTTGTCGTATCGAGTTCTAATCCTCTCTCATAAGGCTTGAAACAGCTGAATAATCCTGAAAAATAGAAAAAAAAAAACATTAAAAAGGTTCAATCTCATAGAAAATTCAATTCTTACCTTTTTAGTATTCATTTTGAAGACATAATAGTCTTGAAAACGAAAGAAAACTGTCAAAATTCCAAAGAAGCTCTCCAAATTATCCAAATTATCTGTATTGCTTGTCGTATCGAGTTCTAATCCTCTCTCATAAGGCTTGAAACTGCTGAATAATCCTGAAAAATAGAAAAAAAAAACATTAAAAAGGGTTCAATCTCATAGAAAATTCAATTCTTACCTTTTTAGTATTCATTTTGAAGACATAATAGTCTTGAAAACGAAAGAAAACTGTCAAAATTCCAAAGAAGCTCTCCAAATTATCCAAATTGACTGTATTGCTAGTCATATCGAGTTCTAATCCTCTCTCATAAGGCTTGAAAAAAGCTGAATAATCCTGAAAAATAGAAAAAAAAACATTAAAAATGGGTTTATTCTTATAGAAAATTCAATTCTTACCTTTTTAGTATTCATTTTGAAGACATAATAGTCTTGAAAACGAAAGAAAACTGTCAAAATTCCAAAGAAGCTCTCCAAATTATCCAAATTGACTGTATTGCTAGTCATATCGAGTTCTAATCCTCTCTCATAAGGCTTGAAAAAAGCTGAATAATCCTGAAAAATAGAAAAAAAAACATTAAAAATGGGTTTATTCTTATAGAAAATTCAATTCTTACCTTTTTAGTATTCATTTTGAAGACATAATAGTCTTGAAAACGAAAGAAAACTGTCAAAATTCCAAAGAAGCTCTCCAAATTATCCAAATTGACTGCATTGCTTGTCGTATCGAGTTCTAATCCTCTCTCATAAGGCTTGAAACAGCTGAATAATCCAGAAAAATAGAAAAAAAAAAACATTAAAAAGGGTTCAATCTCATAGAAAATTCAATTCTTACCTTTTTAGTATTCATTTTGAAGACATAATAGTCTTGAAAACGAAAGAAAACTGTCAAAATTCCAAAGAAGCTCTCCAAATTATCCAAATTGACTGCATTGCTTGTCGTATCGAGTTCTAATCCTCTCTCATAAGGCTTGAAACAGCTGAATAATCCAGAAAAATAGAAAAAAAAAACATTAAAAAGGGTTCAATCTCATAGAAAATTCAATTCTTACCTTTTTAGTATTCATTTTGAAGACATAATAGTCTTGAAAACGAAAGAAAACTGTCAAAATTCCAAAGAAGCTCTCCAAATTATCCAAATTGACTGCATTGCTAGTCATATCGAGTTCTAATCCTCTCTCATAAGGCTTGAAAAAAGCTGAATAATCCTGAAAAATAGAAAAAAAAACATTAAAAATGGGTTTATTCTTATAGAAAATTCAATTCTTACCTTTTTAGTATTCATTTTGAAGACATAATAGTCTTGAAAACGAAAGAAAACTGTCAAAATTCCAAAGAAGCTCTCCAAATTATCCAAATTGACTGCATTGCTTGTCGTATCGAGTTCTAATCCTCTCTCATAAGGCTTGAAACAGCTGAATAATCCTGAAAAATAGAAGAAAAAAAACATTAAAAAGGTTTCAATCTCATAGAAAATTCAATTCTTACCTTTTTAGTATTCATTTTGAAGACATAATAGTCTTGAAAACGAAAGAAAACTGTCAAAATTCCAAAGAAGCTCTCCAAATTATCCAAATTGACTGCATTGCTTGTCGTATCGAGTTCTAATCCTCCCTCATAAGGCTTGAAACAGCTGAATAATCCTGAAAAATAGAAAAAAAAAACATTAAAAAGGGTTCAATCTCATAGAAAATTCAATTCTTACCTTTTTAGTATTCATTTTGAAGACATAATAGTCTTGAAAACGAAAGAAAACTGTCAAAATTCCAAAGAAGCTCTCCAAATTATCCAAATTGACTGCATTGCTTGTCGTATCGAGTTCTAATCCTCTCTCATAAGGCTTGAAACAGCTGAATAATCCTGAAAAATAGAAAAAAAACATTAAAAATGGGTTTATTCTTATAGAAAATTCAATTCTTACCTTTTTAGTATTCATTTTGAAGACATAATAGTCTTGAAAACGAAAGAAAACTGTCAAAATTCCAAAGAAGCTCTCCAAATTATCCAAATTATCTGCATTGCTTGTCGTATCGAGTTCTAATCCTCTCTCATAAGGCTTGAAACAGCTGAATAATCCTGAAAAATAGAAAAAAAACATTAAAAATGGGTTTATTCTTATAGAAAATTCAATTCTTACCTTTTTAGTATTCATTTTGAAGACATAATAGTCTTGAAAACGAAAGAAAACTGTCAAAATTCCAAAGAAGCTCTCCAAATTATCCAAATTGACTGTATTGCTAGTCATATCGAGTTCTAATCCTCTCTCATAAGGCTTGAAAAAAGCTGAATAATCCTGAAAAATAGAAAAAAAAACATTAAAAATGGGTTTATTCTTATAGAAAATTCAATTCTTACCTTTTTAGTATTCATTTTGAAGACATAATAGTCTTGAAAACGAAAGAAAACTGTCAAAATTCCAAAGAAGCTCTCCAAATTATCCAAATTGACTGCATTGCTTGTCGTATCGAGTTCTAATCCTCTCTCATAAGGCTTGAAACAGCTGAATAATCCTGAAAAATAGAAAAAAAAACATTAAAAAGGGTTCAATCTCATAGAAAATTCAATTCTTACCTTTTTAGTATTCATTTTGAAGACATAATAGTCTTGAAAACGAAAGAAAACTGTCAAAATTCCAAAGAAGCTCTCCAAATTATCCAAATTGACTGCATTGCTTGTCGTATCGAGTTCTAATCCTCTCTCATAAGGCTTGAAACTGCTGAATAATCCTGAAAAATAGAAAAAAAAAACATTAAAAAGGGTTCAATCTCATAGAAAATTCAATTCTTACCTTTTTAGTATTCATTTTGAAGACATAATAGTCTTGAAAACGAAAGAAAACTGTCAAAATTCCAAAGAAGCTCTCCAAATTATCCAAATTGACTGCATTGCTTGTCGTATCGAGTTCTAATCCTCTCTCATAAGGCTTGAAACAGCTGAATAATCCTGAAAAATAGAAAAAAAACATTAAAAATGGGTTTATTCTTATAGAAAATTCAATTCTTACCTTTTTAGTATTCATTTTGAAGACATAATAGTCTTGAAAACGAAAGAAAACTGTCAAAATTCCAAAGAAGCTCTCCAAATTATCCAAATTGACTGCATTGCTTGTCGTATCGAGTTCTAATCCTCTCTCATAAGGCTTGAAACAGCTGAATAATCCTGAAAAATAGAAAAAAAAAACATTAAAAAGGGTTCAATCTCATAGAAAATTCAATTCTTACCTTTTTAGTATTCATTTTGAAGACATAATAGTCTTGAAAACGAAAGAAAACTGTCAAAATTCCAAAGAAGCTCTCCAAATTATCCAAATTATCTGCATTGCTTGTCGTATCGAGTTCTAATCCTCTCTCATAAGGCTTGAAACAGCTGAATAATCCTGAAAAATAGAAAAAAAAAAACATTAAAAAGGGTTCAATCTCATAGAAAATTCAATTCTTACCTTTTTAGTATTCATTTTGAAGACATAATAGTCTTGAAAACGAAAGAAAACTGTCAAAATTCCAAAGAAGCTCTCCAAATTATCCAAATTGACTGCATTGCTTGTTGTATCGAGTTCTAATCCTCTCTCATAAGGCTTGAAACAGCTGAATAATCCTGAAAAATAGAAAAAAAACATTAAAAATGGGTTTATTCTCATAGAAAATTCAATTCTTACCTTTTTAGTATTCATTTTGAAGACATAATAGTCTTGAAAACGAAAGAAAACTGTCAAAATTCCAAAGAAGCTCTCCAAATTATCCAAATTATCTGCATTGCTTGTCGTATCGAGTTCTAATCCTCTCTCATAAGGCTTGAAACAGCTGAATAATCCTGAAAAATAGAAAAAAAACATTAAAAAGGGTTCAATCTCATAGAAAATTCAATTTTTACCTTTTCAGTATTCATTTTGAAGACATAATAGTCTTGAAAACGAAAGAAAACTGTCAAAATTCCAAGGAAACTCTCCAAATTATCCAAATTGACTGTATTTCTAGTCATATCGAGTTCTAATCCTCTCTCATAAGGCTTGAAACAGCTGAATAATCCCGAAAAATAGAAAAAAAAAACATTAAAAAGGGTTCAATCTCATAGAAAATTCAATTCTTACCTTTTTAGTATTCATTTTGAAGACATAATAGTCTTGAAAACGAAAGAAAACTGTCAAAATTCCAAAGAAGCTCTCCAAATTATCCAAATTATCTGCATTGCTTGTCGTATCGAGTTCTAATCCTCTCTCATAAGGCTTGAAACAGCTGAATAATCCTGAAAAATAGAAAAAAAACATTAAAAATGGGTTTATTCTTATAGAAAATTCAATTCTTACCTTTTTAGTATTCATTTTGAAGACATAATAGTCTTGAAAACGAAAGAAAACTGTCAAAATTCCAAAGAAGCTCTCCAAATTATCCAAATTGACTGCATTGCTTGTCGTATCGAGTTCTAATCCTCTCTCATAAGGCTTGAAACAGCTGAATAATCCTGAAAAATAGAAAAAAAACATTAAAAATGGGTTTATTCTTATAGAAAATTCAATTCTTACCTTTTTAGTATTCATTTTGAAGACATAATAGTCTTGAAAACGAAAGAAAACTGTCAAAATTCCAAAGAAGCTCTCCAAATTATCCAAATTGACTGCATTGCTTGTCGTATCGAGTTCTAATCCTCTCTCATAAGGCTTGAAACAGCTGAATAATCCTGAAAAATAGAAAAAAAAAACATTAAAAAGGTTCAATCTCATAGAAAATTCAATTCTTACCTTTTTAGTATTCATTTTGAAGACATAATAGTCTTGAAAACGAAAGAAAACTGTCAAAATTCCAAAGAAGCTCTCCAAATTATCCAAATTGACTGCATTGCTAGTCATATCGAGTTCTAATCCTCGCTCATAAGGCTTGAAACAGCTGAATAATCCTGAAAAATAGAGAAAAAAAAAACATTAAAAATGGGTTTATTCTTATAGAAAATTCAATTCTTACCTTTTTAGTATTCATTTTGAAGACATAATAGTCTTGAAAACGAAAGAAAACTGTCAAAATTCCAAAGAAGCTCTCCAAATTATCCAAATTGACTGCATTGCTAGTCATATCGAGTTCTAATCCTCTCTCATAAGGCTTGAAACAGCTGAATAATCCTGAAAAATAGAAAAAAAACATTAAAAATGGGTTTATTCTTATAGAAAATTCAATTCTTACCTTTTTAGTATTCATTTTGAAGACATAATAGTCTTGAAAACGAAAGAAAACTGTCAAAATTCCAAAGAAGCTCTCCAAATTATCCAAATTGACTGCATTGCTTGTCGTATCGAGTTCTAATCCTCTCTCATAAGGCTTGAAACAGCTGAATAATCCTGAAAAATAGAAAAAAAACATTAAAAATGGGTTTATTCTTATAGAAAATTCAATTCTTACCTTTTTAGTATTCATTTTGAAGACATAATAGTCTTGAAAACGAAAGAAAACTGTCAAAATTCCAAAGAAGCTCTCCAAATTATCCAAATTGACTGTATTGCTAGTCATATCGAGTTCTAATCCTCTCTCATAAGGCTTGAAAAAAGCTGAATAATCCTGAAAAATAGAAAAAAAAACATTAAAAATGGGTTTATTCTTATAGAAAATTCAATTCTTACCTTTTTAGTATTCATTTTGAAGACATAATAGTCTTGAAAACGAAAGAAAACTGTCAAAATTCCAAAGAAGCTCTCCAAATTATCCAAATTGACTGCATTGCTTGTCGTATCGAGTTCTAATCCTCTCTCATAAGGCTTGAAACAGCTGAATAATCCTAAAAAATAGAAAAAAAAAACATTAAAAAGGGTTCAATCTAATAGAAAATTCAATTCTTACCTTTTTAGTATTCATTTTGAAGACATAATAGTCTTGAAAACGAAAGAAAACTGTCAAAATTCCAAAGAAGCTCTCCAAATTATCCAAATTGACTGCATTGCTAGTCATATCGAGTTCTAATCCTCTCTCATAAGGCTTGAAACAGCTGAATAATCCTGAAAAATAGAAAAAAAAACATTAAAAATGGGTTTATTCTTATAGAAAATTCAATTCTTACCTTTTTAGTATTCATTTTGAAGACATAATAGTCTTGAAAACGAAAGAAAACTGTCAAAATTCCAAAGAAGCTCTCCAAATTATCCAAATTGACTGCATTGCTTGTCGTATCGAGTTCTAATCCTCTCTCATAAGGCTTGAAACAGCTGAATAATCCTGAAAAATAGAAAAAAAACATTAAAAATGGGTTTATTCTTATAGAAAATTCAATTCTTACCTTTTTAGTATTCATTTTGAAGACATAATAGTCTTGAAAACGAAAGAAAACTGTCAAAATTCCAAAGAAGCTCTCCAAATTATCCAAATTGACTGCATTGCTTGTCGTATCGAGTTCTAATCCTCTCTCATAAGGCTTGAAACAGCTGAATAATCCTGAAAAATAGAAAAAAAAAACATTAAAAAGGGTTCAATCTCATAGAAAATTCAATTCTTACCTTTTTAGTATTCATTTTGAAGACATAATAGTCTTGAAAACGAAAGAAAACTGTCAAAATTCCAAAGAAGCTCTCCAAATTATCCAAATTATCTGCATTGCTTGTCGTATCGAGTTCTAATCCTCTCTCATAAGGCTTGAAACAGCTGAATAATCCTGAAAAATAGAAAAAAAAAAACATTAAAAAGGGTTCAATCTCATAGAAAATTCAATTCTTACCTTTTTAGTATTCATTTTGAAGACATAATAGTCTTGAAAACGAAAGAAAACTGTCAAAATTCCAAAGAAGCTCTCCAAATTATCCAAATTGACTGCATTGCTTGTTGTATCGAGTTCTAATCCTCTCTCATAAGGCTTGAAACAGCTGAATAATCCTGAAAAATAGAAAAAAAACATTAAAAATGGGTTTATTCTCATAGAAAATTCAATTCTTACCTTTTTAGTATTCATTTTGAAGACATAATAGTCTTGAAAACGAAAGAAAACTGTCAAAATTCCAAAGAAGCTCTCCAAATTATCCAAATTATCTGCATTGCTTGTCGTATCGAGTTCTAATCCTCTCTCATAAGGCTTGAAACAGCTGAATAATCCTGAAAAATAGAAAAAAAACATTAAAAAGGGTTCAATCTCATAGAAAATTCAATTCTTACCTTTTCAGTATTCATTTTGAAGACATAATAGTCTTGAAAACGAAAGAAAACTGTCAAAATTCCAAGGAAACTCTCCAAATTATCCAAATTGACTGTATTTCTAGTCATATCGAGTTCTAATCCTCTCTCATAAGGCTTGAAACAGCTGAATAATCCTGAAAAATAGAAAAAAAACATTAAAAAGGGTTCAATCTCATAGAAAATTCAATTCTTACCTTTTTAGTATTCATTTTGAAGACATAATAGTCTTGAAAACGAAAGAAAACTGTCAAAATTCCAAAGAAGCTCTCCAAATTATCCAAATTATCTGCATTGCTTGTCGTATCGAGTTCTAATCCTCTCTCATAAGGCTTGAAACAGCTGAATAATCCTGAAAAATAGAAAAAAAAACATTAAAAATGGGTTTATTCTTATAGAAAATTCAATTCTTACCTTTTTAGTATTCATTTTGAAGACATAATAGTCTTGAAAACGAAAGAAAACTGTCAAAATTCCAAAGAAGCTCTCCAAATTATCCAAATTGACTGCATTGCTTGTCGTATCGAGTTCTAATCCTCTCTCATAAGGCTTGAAACAGCTGAATAATCCTGAAAAATAGAAAAAAAACATTAAAAATGGGTTTATTCTTATAGAAAATTCAATTCTTACCTTTTTAGTATTCATTTTGAAGACATAATAGTCTTGAAAACGAAAGAAAACTGTCAAAATTCCAAAGAAGCTCTCCAAATTATCCAAATTGACTGCATTGCTTGTCGTATCGAGTTCTAATCCTCTCTCATAAGGCTTGAAACAGCTGAATAATCCTGAAAAATAGAAAAAAAAAAACATTAAAAAGGTTCAATCTCATAGAAAATTCAATTCTTACCTTTTTAGTATTCATTTTGAAGACATAATAGTCTTGAAAACGAAAGAAAACTGTCAAAATTCCAAAGAAGCTCTCCAAATTATCCAAATTGACTGCATTGCTAGTCATATCGAGTTCTAATCCTCGCTCATAAGGCTTGAAACAGCTGAATAATCCTGAAAAATAGAGAAAAAAAAAACATTAAAAATGGGTTTATTCTTATAGAAAATTCAATTCTTACCTTTTTAGTATTCATTTTGAAGACATAATAGTCTTGAAAACGAAAGAAAACTGTCAAAATTCCAAAGAAGCTCTCCAAATTATCCAAATTGACTGCATTGCTAGTCATATCGAGTTCTAATCCTCTCTCATAAGGCTTGAAACAGCTGAATAATCCTGAAAAATAGAAAAAAAACATTAAAAATGGGTTTATTCTTATAGAAAATTCAATTCTTACCTTTTTAGTATTCATTTTGAAGACATAATAGTCTTGAAAACGAAAGAAAACTGTCAAAATTCCAAAGAAGCTCTCCAAATTATCCAAATTGACTGCATTGCTTGTCGTATCGAGTTCTAATCCTCCCTCATAAGGCTTGAAACAGCTGAATAATCCTGAAAAATAGAAAAAAAAAAACATTAAAAAGGGTTCAATCTCATAGAAATTTCAATTCTTACCTTTTTAGTATTCATTTTGAAGACATAATAGTCTTGAAAACGGAAGAAAACGGTCAAAATTCCAAAGAAGCTCTCCAAATTATCCAAATTGACTGCATTGCTTGTCGTATCGAGTTCTAATCCTCTCTCATAAGGCTTGAAACAGCTGAATAATCCTGAAAAATAGAAAAAAAACATTAAAAATGGGTTTATTCTTATAGAAAATTCAATTCTTACCTTTTAGTATTCATTTTGAAGACATAATAGTCTTGAAAACGAAAGAAAACTGTCAAAATTCCAAAGAAGCTCTCCAAATTATCCAAATTGACTGCATTGCTTGTCGTATCGAGTTCTAATCCTCTCTCATAAGGCTTGAAACAGCTGAATAATCCTGAAAAATAGAAAAAAAAAACATTAAAAAGGGTTCAATCTCATAGAAAATTCAATTCTTACCTTTTTAGTATTCATTTTGAAGACATAATAGTCTTGAAAACGAAAGAAAACTGTCAAAATTCCAAAGAAGCTCTCCAAATTATCCAAATTATCTGCATTGCTTGTCGTATCGAGTTCTAATCCTCTCTCATAAGGCTTGAAACAGCTGAATAATCCTGAAAAATAGAAAAAAAAACATTAAAAATGGGTTTATTCTTATAGAAAATTCAATTCTTACCTTTTTAGTATTCATTTTGAAGACATAATAGTCTTGAAAACGAAAGAAAACTGTCAAAATTCCAAAGAAGCTCTCCAAATTATCCAAATTGACTGCATTGCTTGTCGTATCGAGTTCTAATCCTCTCTCATAAGGCTTGAAACAGCTGAATAATCCTGAAAAATAGAAAAAAAACATTAAAAATGGGTTTATTCTTATAGAAAATTCAATTCTTACCTTTTTAGTATTCATTTTGAAGACATAATAGTCTTGAAAACGAAAGAAAACTGTCAAAATTCCAAAGAAGCTCTCCAAATTATCCAAATTGACTGCATTGCTTGTCGTATCGAGTTCTAATCCTCTCTTATAAGGCTTGAAACAGCTGAATAATCCTAAAAAATAGAAAAAAAAAAACATTAAAAGGTTCAATCTAATAGAAAATTCAATTCTTACCTTTTCAGTATTCATTTTGAAGACATAATAGTCTTGAAAACGAAAGAAAACTGTCAAAATTCCAAAGAAGCTCTCCAAATTATCCAAATTGACTGCATTGCTAGTCATATCGAGTTCTAATCCTCGCTCATAAGGCTTGAAACAGCTGAATAATCCTGAAAAATAGAGAAAAAAAAAACATTAAAAATGGGTTTATTCTTATAGAAAATTCAATTCTTACCTTTTTAGTATTCATTTTGAAGACATAATAGTCTTGAAAACGAAAGAAAACTGTCAAAATTCCAAAGAAGCTCTCCAAATTATCCAAATTGACTGCATTGCTAGTCATATCGAGTTCTAATCCTCTCTCATAAGGCTTGAAACAGCTGAATAATCCTGAAAAATAGAAAAAAAAACATTAAAAATGGGTTTATTCTTATAGAAAATTCAATTCTTACCTTTTTAGTATTCATTTTGAAGACATAATAGTCTTGAAAACGAAAGAAAACTGTCAAAATTCCAAAGAAGCTCTCCAAATTATCCAAATTGACTGCATTGCTTGTCGTATCGAGTTCTAATCCTCCCTCATAAGGCTTGAAACAGCTGAATAATCCTGAAAAATAGAAAAAAAAAAACATTAAAAAGGGTTCAATCTCATAGAAATTTCAATTCTTACCTTTTTAGTATTCATTTTGAAGACATAATAGTCTTGAAAACGGAAGAAAACGGTCAAAATTCCAAAGAAGCTCTCCAAATTATCCAAATTGACTGCATTGCTTGTCGTATCGAGTTCTAATCCTCTCTCATAAGGCTTGAAACAGCTGAATAATCCTGAAAAATAGAAAAAAAACATTAAAAATGGGTTTATTCTTATAGAAAATTCAATTCTTACCTTTTTAGTATTCATTTTGAAGACATAA